ATGTATATATATGTATACATATGTGTATATATGTGTGTATATGCTTGTATATGATTGTATATGATTGTATATGTATGTATATACTTGTATATATGTATATATGTATATATGTATATATGTATATATGTATATATGTATATATGTATATATGTATTTATGTATATATGTATATATGTATATATTTTTATATGTGTATATGTATATATGTATATATGTACATATGTACATATGTATATATGTACATATGTATATATGTATATAGGTATATATGTAAATATCTATATAGGTAAATATGTGTATATGTATATATGTATATGTATATATATATATATAGATGTATGTATATACATAGATATGTAACGATGTGCAGATGTGTAGATGCGTTACCAGGTTGGGAACCCAGCCCCGGCCCCAGCACCCCCAGCCCCATGTCCATGCCCCGCCGGTTCCTAAGAAAGAAGAGACGCAAGGGCCCCCCCCCAAAAAAGGGCACCCCCCAAAAAAAAGGTTAGGATCCATTGAGCAGGATCCTTTCGTTTACATACCCATAGTTGCTGTTCATGACGATTGTTGTGGGGCGGGGAGCCTGCAGGTGTCCGTGACGTCTTCCCCGGCTTCAACGACGTTGCTGGCAGCATGGCGGCACGAGCTCGGAGATGACCTCTGGGTCAGCCTCAGCACGAGGCTGCGAAGCAAAGCCCGCCGTGGTTGCAGCCGTGCTGCTCGTGTGGTTGATGAAGAACGGTGTAGTGTAGGATGCAGCCAATTTGAGCTCCGTCTCTTTTGCTGCGAGCATCGGGACCAAGTTGCGTAAATTGGCATGCCTCGAGGATTGCAGCAAACCTTAACACATGAACTTGAAACTACACCCGTAAGCTTGAGAACGCCCCCACAGCAAGGGCGTCGGAGTTGCATGATCGACCTTCATGCAAAATTAAAACTCTCGAACAGAAACCCAAATTCGTCTGTAGTAGCGAAACAGGGTTGTGAGCAACGTATCTGCTGGCACAGATTCCCAGCATCCTTGGAGCTGGGGACGAGGATAAACTGCCTAAAGCATCCTAAACCCTAAACCCTGAAGCCCGCATGATTTTAGGCCTCCTGAAATCCATGGGCGTATGCTTTGCGCAAGCGACGGCTAGCGCCCCGCACCTGCTCGAGTCGCACAGGGTTTAGGGTTTATACGGGTTTAGGGTAGCACAAATTCCCAACGGCGAATGCGTTGAGCCTGAAATGCCTACACCCTGCCTGAGCCCTAAACCTTCAAGGAACACAGTCGCAAAGCCGAAAGCCCAAAGCCGCCATCGGTTACCGATCAGCGATATTCAACGACTGTAGAGTATATGAGTGCCCGAAGCGCCAAACCTCGCAGGTCTTAGGGTTTGGGGTTTAACTTCCCGTAAGAAACGCGACAGATGCAATGACGCAGCCTTGATGAAGTTATGCACCCCTATACTGCCTATACTACACGAGCCTGACAATGAAAAGGGCCCTCGCCATTTTGGAATTCCATGCCCTGCCTCCTCCTCCTAAGCCCCGAATCTTGAAGATATGTGGGAACACCCTAAACCCTGAACCAACACTCTTAGTCCTCAAAGGCAAACGAGGAGCCCGTGACGACGACTTTCCCCCCCCCAGCACATGAGGCCTTCAGAGATTCACCTTGGGCTTTCATGTTTTCGTGGTATCGGCATTTCGGGTTTACGATTTGTGTTACAAGGCTTCGAAGTTCGTGTTTTTGCTTGATCCCTTGTGCTGTGGTAGGCGAGCTTGCAGCGACGATCGGGGTTCACACAAGTTTGAGTGGGGTGGGTTCGGGTTTTACGTTCCTTTTTGTCCAAAGTTTGTACAGCATATGATTGATCGCGGTGCCTAGAGAATTTTGTGGCTGGATTTCCGCATTCGGTTTATGCCTAGACGGTTGACATCTTGAGTAAGAGTTTCTAAGTTCTCAGCTGGTGTGGCACCTAGATTCCAAGCCGCTTTTTGTACTTCTGCCTGGACGAGAAGACACCCCGCAGACTCAGACCCTGTGTTGACGATGAAGCGTCCCATGATTCATGGAATTCTCGAACTGATGTCAGGGATCCTGCCGTGGAGCGTGAGGCAGCAGAACTCGTGGTCATGTGGCTTGCCTATGAAGATGTAGTGCCAGCCGTTTGCGAAAGTCCAGAAGTTTCTGGAGGTGCCTAGCATGTCTCAACATTCCCGGTGTTAGAACCCCGCGTTACTTCAGGATGCTTTTCATTCTGCTCATCTTCCTGTGCGTCCTGGGTCTGGCATGGAAGTGTCTGCAAGCTCAGGATGGGCTATATACCGATGATAACGAATGGTATTCCACGGTCCCTTTACCAATATTATAGTTCGTGTCATCGCTGCTTAGAGGAAGCTCCCGCTTCTCTTCGTCCGACACTTCGTTCTCTTACCATGATGTTCCACCGAAGATTGGTTTAGGGCGTTTAGGGTGCGCGGCAGTGGAGGGGTGATGGTGGAAATGTGTCGGCTTGCTGAAGTCTGTCTGAAGTCTTTAAAGCATTCCCTCCGATAGTCAGCAAGTAAGGCTATCTGAGCAAGGAGGGTTCTGAGCAAATGGTTTAGGGTTTAGGTTTAGGGTTTAGGGTTTGTGTGCAAACAAACCGCCGTTGAATCATGTCTAGTCACAGGTGCAAGTGTAGGCTTATTCGCCACGTCGCTGCTGAGAGTGACATGTCGCTTCGGAGCATGACCGCGGATCTGCTTGCGGGGTGCCCCCTTTGTAGGCGCAAACAGTCGGGCTTTGGAAATGTCTTTATGCAGTTCAAGTAGGGATACCGGACGTGTGAAAGTGTTTTAGAATTTGCTTACCTCAAGTCTGTCTGCAGTGCTCAATAGCAGGGTTGCGTCCGAAGCTTCGCCCCGCTTCTGAAGTTCAGGACGAGTTTCGATTTTCGGCGGGGTTGGAGTTGATGAAAATGTACTGCAACATAAAGCTCAAGGACCATTCGCTCAAGCTCCGTCACTGTGTGTTTCTCCTACTCCGGCGAACGCACGCAGACGATTACACTCAAACAACGGGCTCTATTTTCTGCTGTCTCGGATGCACAAGAAGGCAAGGCCACGGCAGTGCAGCTGACATGTTTCATGGAGAGACATCAGAATCGGCAGGAGAGCTCGCGGGAAGAACTGATCACGAAGCGGGAAGAACTGATCACGAATGGTGCGTCGGCCGTTTGTTTTGAATAGATGTTTGTTAGAGGTTCAGGTTTGAGGAGGGCAAGTTGAGGAAGAGTACCCGGCAGTATAAGTATTCTGTCATGTCGTGCGGTGTTCTTAGCTGCGGTGAGTTTGGCAATGCAGTCTTCAACTGTGCAGTGGCTGTTCAACATGTTTCAACTCTGGGCTTTGTGTCCCAAGTCTTGCACCAAAGGGAACTGGATCAAGCCAATCCTGAATTTCTGCAAACCAAATTTGCCAAGAAGCCGGCCAACAAGCAAACTCTGAGGACAAACCTTCCCCGGGCCGAGTCACTGGCGATCAGGCCGAGCAGTGGCAAGCGGAAGGATGTAGGAACGAAGATCTTCCGGACCGGCTAGATCGATGTTGGGAGGTGTTGGGTGGAAGTGAGAAGTATAGAGGCCAGTGATGTGCTCTTCGGCTCAGACCTGCGCCCCATGCAACTTCAGTGATCCCAAGAAAGTATGTAGGGCTCGTCATCGTCAAAGGCAAGGATGAAGGGAATCCGACCAGACGGGCCAGGATGTGAGGTTTGTCTCTGCAGCTTTGCCCGTGGCCCTCTTATGTGTACGGGCGAGATTCCTCTAGAAAGGCTGTAGTCCTGCAAGCACGGCCAGGGAGCCGAAACCGCTTCCGCGGACGAAGTCCGCGAAGGAGTCGCCGAGCTTCGAGGCCGTCTGCCTGCTTTTTGGCCAAGCCATCTTCAGAAGTTTTGGAGATCATCTGGCAGCAGCCGCTGTCTGCGCGGGAGGCAATGGTGTGGCCGAGGATGCCCTGCAGGTGGGGATGAAGTCATTCAGCGGCCAAAAGCCCTACCCTCAAACAACGACCTGGAGCCAGGACTCTCTGCCAGAAGTTCCTGGTGATCGCTCGGCACCCAGCCAGTCGAATTTAGCCCATGTGTGCATCCTGATTGTTTTGCTGTTCTTCCGTCGGGCCTTCTCCGAGCAGCATGGATCAACACAAGACACACAAAGTACCGAACCGAAAACACACTGCATTGCTTGAGTCGAAAAGGTACTTGAGAACACGTTTTGCAGACAAAATGATGTGTCCCCAAACTGTTGCTGTTGGATACATCTGTTCTGGAGCATACTCCCACAGTGTGTTCCTACCATCAGACTCAAGAACTGCCTGGAAATCTCGCAATACGTATCCCCCCTCGAAGTGTGACTCCCAAGACCCCAAATCCTCGAAAGCCACAGCATTAAATACCTGAACACGGTCCGAGGTGTGGGGCCAGTGTCCGTCGCATTGAATGTCGAGGAAGCGCACGACATCGCAGTTCGTGGGTGTTAGGGTGCACCCTCAGACAACCATAGCCGCAGACTCAAGCAGTCCCTCCTGAGAAGTGCCTTGTTGTTTTGACGCATGGGGCTTGTTTTTTTTTTTTTGTGTCTTTCGGTGGATCCATATCATCGCCTTTAACAGAAGCCCATACAGGAACTCTTCAAGGAACCCTGAAAGGATCCCTTAGAGTAAGCCCTTACAGTTGCAACTTTGAAGGTGGGTACAACCCGAGGGCAAGCAGAATCGATACTTCTGCGAATAATCTGGGCATGGGAGAATCTGTGAGTTGTAGGATGCTGCTAATCACTGGATCCTTTTCGATGCATGTGCTCTTGACTGAGATCTTCTTTGGATTCAGAGAAGGAGCAGATCATCCATTCAGAAGACAGCTTGCAGTAATCCAGGTTTAGGTCAGAGCTTCACCCACAAAGGGGCCCCAGTACTTGTTTGCTAGCATTGCAGTATAATTCGATAAAGGAATCAGCGAGCCCTAGGGAAATACATCTCCAATAATCAATGTCCCTGATACCTGCAGAGAGCCCCCCCAACCAGGTGAGGCATTGTTCGATCCACCAACTGAAGTTCAAAGGCCGAAGCCAAATCCAAAATCCCATCAACCCTAAAACCCTGGACCTCAAGCACTATGTACCGACACGCCAATGCCTAAACCAAGCAGCAAGCTCTACACCTCAGCCCTAAACTCCAGTCTTGGCTTTGGCAGGATTCCGGCCAGGATTCCGGAGATTGGTTGCCGAACAGGATCCCATGAACGAGGCCCTGCTAACCTGCTAAACC